CTACCACAATGATATTGTAAAAGAAAAATTGAGTGATCTACTGACCTTTTTTACACCTCACTCAAGGTCCTGAGTATTAGTGGACAAGATCGTCAACGAGCTAGTTACGAATAGTTTTCACAAAAACGTTGATGGATTTGTTGTGTGACTAGTTTTCCACACTTTTCCTTCTAAAAGTTGATATAGGCGAGCTTGCCAAAATAAGAATAAGAGTTGAATAAACATCTAGAAGTTTTGTTATGGGTAACATGCTGAAGATAATATAACCAAGTAACATGCTTTTGTTAAAATCTAAATTCTTACTGAAATCTCAGAAGGCTGAGCTGCCCTTTCCAGAGGAACCTATATGGCTATAAAACCTAAATTTCAAATTGATCGAACGTAAACGTTCACATAAATATATACTCAAAATAAGTAGACCTTACTGAATAGTTCAACGGACAAAGCAAGGTTCCATATTATACGTTCCATTTTGAGCAAGCTCTCACGCTTTCGCGCACACTTTCAAACCTAATCATGGCTTGGGGTGCTAGAAGTTACGTTGAAAAGATTCGTTTACTTTCTGTTCAATTTCGATCAGTCTTTGCTCTAACATATCGAATGCCTTTTGTCTGAAACGTAGCCTGTTAAAATGATATAAGGGATAGCGTGTTCGTGTAAGCCTACCTTCAAATGCTATATCGTCGGGAGCAGCGCGAACACACTAAGCCCTCGTTGCATCTGGTGTGATTTTGTTTAGCATAACCAACTTGAAGAGGTACGCCAAAAATATAATTATTATAAATAGGGCATGTCGCATGTTCAGCCGCTACAAGCAAAACGGCATCACTGGACAGGTTCCGAGGTATACATTGCAAGTAGTAACCTACCTCAAAATGCTTGAAAGTTACATCATTGAGTAAAGAAAGAAGTGAAAAACCAAATAAAGAACAAAAACCCGTTTTACTCGAGCGTGGAAGGCAACTAGTCAAACGCGTTCTCACAAACTCAAGTGAACTATGACCAGTCTAACGTGTTTTTTACTTGTTCCTTCACTGGAACAAGTAGCAGGTAACACGTTGAAGCGAAATGCACCTTGTTGGTCGGAAAGTAGTATGCAGCAAATGGGACCGTCGTGTTTTGTGTTATTTCCGTTCTTATTTGGAGCTTCATAGAGCGCAATCTTGTAGAGATCCGTTTTACAAACAACTTTTTCATTTAGCAAAACTACAACAAGAAGAACATTCTGTGGAGTCAAACAATTCAGCACCTTATCTGCTTTAAGCATTAACATGTCTATAACCTACTCTGAGAATTAGGACATCAGTTCATTTAGCAAATTTTAAGAACTTTATCAAGGCTATCAGGGGCAATGGAGTTGCGGTAGGTTTTATTTGTTGGTGGTCGGTGGAAACATTACACTGCAAAGTATTTGAGCAGAATGGTCGAAAAACCCTTGAGAGCGGGAAGGGACGACCATGGCAGAAAAGGAGCAGGAGAAGATGAAGAGAAGAAGGACGAGGGTGGCGGAGAGGAGAAGAAAGACGAAGGTGACGGAGGAGGTGAAGAGAGGAAAGAAGGCGAAGAAAAGAAGGAAGGTGAGGAGAAGAAGGAAGAAGGTGAGGAAAAGAGAGAAGGTGGAGAGAAAAAAGAAGGCGAGGAAAAGAAGGAAGCCGAAGAGAAGAAGGAAAGCAAGGAAGGTGAAGAAAAGAAGGAAAGTGCAGAGAAGGAGGCAGAGGAGAAAAAGGCGGAAGAAAAGAAAGAAGGCGAAGAGAAAAAGGCAGAGGATAAGAAGGAAGGAGAAGAAAAGAAGGAAACCAGCAAAGAGAAAGCATTGAGCAAGGAGGGCGAAATGAAAGCAGAAGGACTGGAGAAGAAAAGCAGGGAGCAACTCAAATCAGAGGAAAAGAAAGAAGGAGAAGAGAAGGGAGAGAAGGAAAGTGAGAGCAAAGAAAAGGTGCGTTGAACATTGTGTGCTAATTGAAGTTCTAAACAACTTGCTGTGAAGCGGAAACTTCCAGTTACTATCTATAGCTCTGATTGACAATGAGAGCCTCCAAGTCTATATTAAACCTAGGCTAACCTCGCTTATTCGACTTTTTCTGTTCCTGAAAGTTTTCAAAATTAGGAAGTGAAAGTTGCTCGTTCAATCATTTCCTTCATCTATGTTTTGCGCTGATAACAATAGTATCACTTTACTTAAACACATCATTCCTAAACTAACAGGTCCGTGTAGCAATTGGCAATTGGAAAGGAGAGGGGAGGGCAGGTGGCATGCATAGAGGAAGGGAAATTCAAAGAATTTTCCTCGATGATTTAATTGCAATTTATTACAGAAAGTTTCACCGTCAAATGAGCTCTCTTTAAGCATTTCGCATATTACTTGAGTTAAGTCATTGGAAGAAGCATAAACTTACTTACATAGGAAGGATACTTGCTCGAAGTGGCGATTCAAAAAGTGGCATACTCTAGATGCAGCTTCAGACGCTGATTCCAAAACAGCATTCTATATCTGCGATGCGTTTCACTGGAATAAGTTAGAAGCTTTTCTATATTGAAATTAGCCTGTGCGCCTCGTCAATAACTGCTCTACAACATCAAATCCAGCCAGAAACAACAATCACGGTTTAATTTTATTATGAAGACATGTTCTTATCTGATCAGTTTCAAGTTTGAACTTTCAGGCATCTTGATTCAGCTCAGGAAAACCATGTTTGATAGAAATTTCCGTAACTTCTTCCAGAAAGGCGCTTCGTAGATTTGAAAGGTAGATATGAAATCAGCGCTTTAAACTGCATATAACGATATGTGTCCCGTTTTAAATCGCCACAAGTATCCTTCCCTTGTTAGATATTTACTTAGGTACTTAGATAGCCTGTCTTCACTTGTCGTGCATGCTCCAGCATTGCTTCCATCCGTTTCTTTCTCTCGCTAGCGTCATCCACGATGTTGGTATTGAACTGCGGCGGCGACATTGGCGAGGTCCAGATCTACTGCCCGTTACCAGCTGGCAATACAGGTAGTCTTCCGTGCAACGAATATATCAGCCCATCTGGTCGGTGGCCTCCCTCGAGGACATTTTGCTTCGCGAAGGATCCATTCCAGAGTTTTATTGTCCATCTGTCGTCTATCCTTCTCATTATATGACCAGCCGATCGATGTT